CCTGCCCTTGCCCACCCACAGGGCGGCGCTCACTGCCTTAGCCGCAGGGCAGTCTGGCTGCCCCCTCCCCACCTGTGCCCCTGCGCTGCCTGCTTCCTGCCCTGCAGAGCGCCGTCCCTCGGTGACAGGGTGGCCCCTGGGCCTCTGGCTTTCCCACTGCACAGTGCCTGGCTCCTGGGACAGGGATGCCGCCCTCCACGCTGATGTTGGGGGAACGGGGCCCAGAGAGGGGAGCCAGCTGCCTTGGCCACACAGCAAGGCAGACAGACGAAAACCCTGGGCCCGACAGCCGGAGGCATGGTGCCCGGTGCAGGCAGGGAGGCCCCAGAGAACTCCGGGAAGGACAAGCACACCTGTGCCCGTGCAGCCCGGGAAAAGGTGCTGATGGAGAACAGTCCCGGGGCCCCACTGGGTTTGTTACGGCCAGTGGACAGCAGAGCCATGCCAGCCGCTGTGACGGATACCGCCCGTCACATAACTGGGTTCATATTGGCACCAGGCGGTCCTCCCTCTTGCTGCTCCCTGGTCTGCCCTCTACTTTTACTGAGCACCTACTGCGTACAAAGCACGGCCTGGACTGACAGCAGGGACCCAGTCCCGGCCTTCCCGGGGCTCGGGGTCCCTCCAGGAGGAAGTGAGGCTGCTGTGCAGCGGCTGCTCCTGAGCAAGGGGTCCTTCCTCCCAGCAGGAAACCCAGGAGGGTGTCCTGGAGGAGGTGGCCTGGGCTCTGGCCTGACCAGGTGTTGCCACGGATCTGAGTCCTCACCACAGGGACAGAGCCCATCACTCAGTCCCTGGTTCCGCCAGCACCAGGCTTCCTAGGGGTGGTTCAGGGTCCGGGGCTGAGGACCTTGAGTCAGGGCCGCACTCACCCGATGGGTGAAGGACAGGTCAGAGGGCGAGGAAGGGCAAGGCCTGTCCTCCTGAGAACGCTGGGCGCGGTACACGGGCGAGTGACGCACTGGGCACCACAGCCGTGGGCAGCAGCTGGGACAGCCCGCCTGCCGTGGCCCCGCACACAGGTCAAGCAGCTGGTGCCAACCATCACCTGCCAAGTGGGCAGCTGGGCCCCTGGACTTTGGGCCAGGGGCGGTGGCTGAGGGCCAGGCCTGGCTGTGGTCAGCTGGGCCACGGATCCGGCCCTGCCGGGGTCTGGGGGAGGGGCGAGCCCCTCGGCTCCCCTGGGTGCTGGAGGGCACAGCTCAGGAGGTGGCCAGGCTCCAGTGAGGGGCACCCAGTCAGGGTCCTGCTGCCAACCTGCTGTACCACCTGGGGCGGGCCCTCTGGCCGAGCCTGTTTCCCCACCGGGCAAGCAGGGACGAGAACCCTGCAGGGTCCGCTGAGGGAAGGCTCTACATTTACCTGTACTGTCCTGTCCTGTTCGTGCTCTTGGAGAAAACCACGTGCCAGTC